CCCATACAACCTTTATGTTGATACAGAAAAGTGGACGACACCTTTGTCATGTTGAAAGAAGAAGATGACCCACAAAAATTACTAGACCACCTCAACAAGCGAAATCCTTCTATAAAATTTACCATGGAAACCAGCTCCGATAACTCAATACCTTTTCTGGATGTCAATATTAAAGTAATGAATAACGAAATTGGGACATCAGTTTATAGGAAACCTACGCATATTGATCAGTATCTCCATTATAAATCCAACCACTCCCTACAAAGAAAAAAAGGCATCATTTCAACTCTTACCAAACGTGCTGTAAATATTTGCAGCAAAGAAAATCTTCAAGAAGAAATCAACCACCTTAAACATGTATTTATAAACCTAAACCAATACCCTGAACACCTAGTCAACCAAACAATAGCTAAAGCCATGAAACCTCCAACTGTCAAACCAGCTAAACCAGAAACTCCACCTATCAGAGTAAGCATACCATTCAATGGGAACTCATCTTATAAGATCAAAAGATTGTTAAAACAAAATGGGATTGAAACTGTTTTTACTGGCCAAAGAACACTAAAAGATATCATTCATGCAAATGGTAAGCTACAACCAACAAATCAAGCTGACCCCAAAGGATGTGTTTACCAAGTTTTTTGTTCTTGTGGAGGATCGTACATAGGGGAAACGAAGAGACCACTTCAAAAAAGGATCAAAGAACATCAATCAACCAATCAGCAATCCAAGACCATATAAAAGTAACAGACCACAAAGTCAATTGGAATGAAACTATTACATCAGCCATCAACAAAAACAATAAGAAAGAAAGGAAAATTATTGAAGCCATCCAAATAAGAAGACATAATCCGTCAATCAACAGAGATACTGGAGTTTTCATTCCTAGAGCCTATGATCACCTTATCAAACATTAGAAGTTAGATACTTTAATTGGGTTCTTAATCCTTTGTTTTGTTATGTTGTTTTCTCTTTACCTATCTTGTTAATCTTTGTAATATTATTCATTGCTTGATAAAGACCAGAGAAAACTGATCGAAACGTCGCTCAAATAGAGTTAGTAATTGTAATCTATAAGAATTTTTTCATTATATCCAACACCTTTACTAAATGCATCAGATAAGAATAGACTGAGATCGTCTTCAAAATTTGTAGTGCAACGGCAAAAAATGACTTTTCTCAACAACAAAAATCTTAAATCGTGATCAAACGTTAAAAGATTAATATCAATAAGATACTTTATTTTATATCCATGAAAATTAACAATGTATGTATAACAAATATATTTTAACATTCCGATATCACAGTATAAATTGTTGAAAACATACCATATCAGTTTGCAAGGTTTTATGAAACAATAATTTTAACGAAAAAAAAAATATAAGCTTGATACTTTGCTTACTCTTAACTATTAATAATAAAAATTCAGTTTTTCTATAATATCCACTAGAAGTAATACTTTCATATCTGCTCAGAAGAAATTAATAAAAAAAAATTTGCATGCAATGCACCAATATTTGTTTAAATGGTGTCAAATTCAAACACAAAACACGATGCAAAGAAAATGAAAATAATATAACTAAGCTTTTCAAAATATTTTATTAAGGAGATAATCAAACATTTCGCCTTTCATCAGTCACCCTTTCATCAGTCACCCTTTCATCAGTCACCCTTTCATCAGTCACCCTTTTATCAGTCACCCTTTCATCAGTCACCCTTTCATCAGTCACCCTTTCATCAGTCACCCTTTCATCAGTCACCCTTTCATCAGTCACCCTTTCATCAGTCACCCTTTCATCAGTCACCCTTTCATCATCAGAGAGATCAAAATCAGTTAAAAAATAATCTCAATCAGAATCATTTACTGCAATTTATTTTGCCACATGAGTAGCTCTTCTTGTGTTCCAATTTTTGTTTACAGCTTGAAAAAATCAATCAAAAGCTCAAAAATCTTCGATCTTTTCTAGTGAAACGATCCATTTGGTAAAGTTAACGGAAGAAAATTGCAGATACCGACTGCGCGAGTATGTTGATTAGCTGATGGAAGTCGGACGTCATTTTTGATTGACAGCTGGCGATACCTCAATTGTGGTTGGTGTAAGGACTAATCATAGTCACTGAACCACGGGTTGTCCAGAAAACAAGTTAGAACATACCTTTTAACGAATCAGAGTTGTTGCAGTCGTCGTCTGATTTGTTGATACCATTGGAACCTCCTCCCTAGCTACTCCTTCATTTTAACACAGTGACAGCTGAAAACGTAACATCTGGACAGTAGGAGTTGTATATAGAATAAATATCTTCAACATATCTACTCATTTACAGTTTAGATTTCCTTACTCGATCTAGTTTATGTTTAATCTTCTTTTTAAAAAGATGAAAAGTTTCTTGTCTTCAGTGCTGCTGATATTGTATCAGTTTTCACACTTATTGGTGCTCGTAAGTGTTAGTTCTTATCATATTTTTTGCGGTAAATTCATTTCATACTGAAAATATTCTAACTGAATATTGAAAAAGTCATCTTACATAAATATATTATGATGATTCAAGTTAATAGTCCAGCATCAAATCAATATAATTGTAACTATCAAAATGAAAAGAAGCTTATTATTCGAGTCTATATACCGTTCCCAATAATTCAAATCAAGCAGGATCGATAATTGATACATACAAATGAGGGTTTAAATTGGATTGTAGTCAAGACTTTGCTACACACTCATTATGATATTAATATTTTTAGTTCAGAAACGGAAATTTTGAAGCTCGGTTAATCAGTAATAGTGTTACAGCTCACCATCGAAATTTGAGCCTTCAAATCCACGTGTGTCCAGAATTATCCAAGAAAGTTAAAAGACGACTCGCCTTTTCTTGATACTCTGCCTTATATGGGGTTTAATTTTTAATCTGTTCTGAGAACAGATAAATCTTCTAATGTAATCGGGACTAATGTGTAGTATCTTCATTTCAGAGTGTTACGGGTACTTTAATGATACATATGTTACAATATCTCCGTATATTACTGAAGTTGATTACAATAAGACAGTGGATGAATGTAATGGAATTTGTTATTACGCAGGTCCAGAGTGTTCCTTTCCTTTTGTAGATTCAGGTATATGTTATCTGCTCACATCACCAGTCATCTCAGTGTCTTATAATACAAATCATATTGAGTGTGAAGAGAAATGCAGTGAGAATAATGCCTGTCTGACTTTAAGCAGTTGGGGAACCTTAGACCGATGTTTTTTATTTGATGTTAATTACGTTAAGATACCTGATGATGATATAGCAACATTTCCAGGTTATCTCATGGCTAAAAGAGTATGCTAAAATGTAGTTATTAATCTTTCAATTATTAAACAGATCTGAAACGAAATTTATTGTTTAAAATAAGTATTGTAACTATGCTAACAAGGTAATATTTAGTATGTAATTTCCTATTTTCTATCTAAAGAAGAAACAGAAGAGCTTGTCTATATGACTAGTCACAGATTGACTAAGCCAGAGTTTATCCAAACATAGTAATTGCAGATCTTTGTGCTTGTGCAAAATCTCCATCAGAACGTCTATCTTAAATTATTCTTACAAATCCATAATATATCGAATCCTCTTTTCTGAGTTTGACATGAATGTATTTACCTAAGTAAACTTGTTCATAACTTACCTATATAAATAGAACAGTAACGTCTATAAACTTGTATATAACTTACCTATATAAATAGAACAGTAACGTCTATAAACTTGTATATAACTTACCTATATAAATAGAACAGTAACGTCTATAAACTTGTATATAACTTACCTATATAAATAGAACAGTATCGTATATAAACTTGTATATAACTTACCTATATAAATAGAACAGTATCATCTATAAACTTGTATATAACTTACCTATATAAATAGAACAGTACGTCTATATCCTTGTATATAACTTACCTATATAAATAGAACAGTATCGTCTATAAACTTGTATATAACTTACCTATAAAAATAGAACAGTAACGTCTATAAACTTGTATATAACTTACCTATATAAATAGAACAGTTACGTCTATAAACTTGTATATAACTTACCTATATAAATAGAACAGTATCGTATATAAACTTGTATATAACTTAAATAGAACAGTATTGTCTATAAACTTGTATATAACTTACCTATATAAATAGAACAGTAACGTCTATAAACTTGTATATGACTTACCTATATAAATAGAACAGTTACGTCTATAAACTTGTATATGACTTACCTATATAAATAGAACAGTTACGTCTATAAACTTGTATATAACTTACCTATATAAATAGAACAGTAACGTCTATAAACTTGTATATAACTTACCTATATAAATAGAACAGTTACGTCTATAAACTTGTATATAACTTACCCATATAAATAGAACAGTATCGTCTATAAACTTGTATATAACTTACCTATATAAATAGAACAGTAACGTCTATAAACTTGTATATAACTTACCTATATAAAAAAACAGTATAGTCTATAAACGTGTATATAACTTACCTAGTATATAAAAAGAACAGTATCGTCTATAAACTTGTATATAACTTACCTATATAAATAGAACAGTAACGTCTATAAACTTGTATATAACTTACCTATATAAATAGAACAGTATCGTCTATAAACTTGTATATAACTTACCTATATAAATAGAACAGTATCGTCTATAAACTTGTATATAACTTACCTATATAAATAGAACAGTATCGTCTATAAACTTGTATATAACTTACCTATATAAATAGAACAGTATCGTCTATAAACTTGTATATAACTTACCTATATAAATAGAACAGTATCGTCTATAAACTTGTATATAACTTACCTATATAAATAGAACAGTATCGTCTATAAACTTGTATATAACTTACCTATATAAATAGAACAGTATCGTCTATAAACTTGTATATAACTTACCTATATAAATAGAACAGTATCGTCTATAAACTTGTATATAACTTACCTATATAAATAGAACAGTATCGTCTATAAACTTGTATATAACTTACCTATATAAATAGAACAGTATCGTCTATAAACTTGTATATAACTTACCTATATAAATAGAACAGTAACGTCTATAAACTTGTATATAACTTACCTATATAAAAAAACAGTATAGTCTATAAACTTGTATATAACTTACCTATATAAATAGAACAGTAACGTCTATAAACTTGTATATAACTTACCTATATAAATAGAACAGTATCGTCTATAAACTTGTATATAACTTACCTATATAAATAGAAAAGTTACGTACGTAAACTTGTATATAACTTACCTATATAAATAGAAAAGTTACGTACGTAAACTATGACTGAAGTAGAAGTGACTGCGTCTAAAGCTTTTTCCATAGTCGGTAGACAAAACAATTGTGCTATCATGACAATCGTATATGTTCTGCAATGTCTCTAACTGTTTTTCCTTTAGTGGAAACGAAAGGTTTAATTTTTTCCTTTGCTAGACTTAATTTTCGTTTCAATTGTTGCCATCTGACTAGTCTCTGACTACTCTATTACGTTCGCCATGATATTCAGGTCATTGGTCGATTCGTCTTTAAACTTTGTAGCTTTGGCCGAATCGTCCTGACATTCTAACCGGAAGTTAGTTACTACGAAGATCAAATACTTCAAGCAGAAATACAAAATCCCAACTTTTCCTTCTTGTTGCATGAAATCTGTTTCGAAATGTTGATAACTTTATTTCACCGTAAGTTTCTGTGAATTACATTACATTACTCTCTGACTACAATGTTTACTGAATTGAATTTTGACAATCTTTTTCGTATAAACTTATAATTACAAAGTACTACTTGGACTGCCTTTGGGTGATGAAAACGGTAACCACATGGAAAAGTTATTATTTGTAAACATGATTGTACATAATTCAAAACAACTGCCTTAGTCCGAAACTTCTCCCTGTATTCCAGCCTCTGTTGGATATTTTGACGGTTGTCTGCTAGAGTAGAGTCAGAAAAAAAGACTGTGTTCAATGGGGATTTTTCACTACTCTGAAGATGCGTTTTTTCTAACATAGTATTGAATTACCTAGGGAGAACATTTTGTAAATTAGTGTTAGGTACAACTGTAACTTTTTGATGCCCAAGCAGTTTTAAATAGCTGATAGGAGATCATTTTCATGACAAAATACTTTGATTGAACCGGAGACATGACATCTTTCCAAATATATCTTGGTTTTGCAGATTACAGATATCTTAATGGGTTTAAAACCCATGCACTCCTGGAAATGCAGATGCGAAATGTCCCCATTTAACATTTTCTGTCTCTACACCAGCTTACATCCTGTCCAAGTAGAGTCTGGAATAGAGACAGATGTTGCGGTGTATTCCAGCCTCTGACAGTTCTCAGCTCGAGTCAGAAAACCTAAGCCCTGTTTTATTAGAATTTCCTGAAACTTAAACTAAGATGGTTTACATTTGAATTTTCATATTTTTCAGTATGAAATGAAGATACAACTTGTGTTTGCAAGAGTTATCTCTCTTAGACAAGCAGCCTATCAAGGAAGACCTGCAGTCTTTAGATGTGCAGATTTTCCCATTGGAAGAGGGACAATTCTCAACTCAAGTTTGTTAAAATGTAAAACATTTTGTGTAGAAAATCGTCAGTACCTATTACCAAGGTGGACCAATCTAGTATGGAATAGAAAATTTCTTAGAGAATTTCATACATGTCAGTCATTATGTTCATCAGACTCTGATGGAAATAACAAAACAAGTATAACACCAAATTACATTTCTACAGATTCTGATGGAAATAACAAAACAAGTATAACACCAAATTACATTTCTACAGATTCTGATGGAAATAACAAAACAAGTATAACACCAAATTACATTTCTACAGATTCTGTTGGAAATAACAAAACAAGTAAAGAACCAGGTTCTGAAGAAAGTAAAGTTGAAAGAAATACCGAAATCTGTAGTAAATTATTTACCAAAAATAGTGTTCTAACTGTTCATCAAAAAGTTCATACTGGAGAAAAACCATATACTTGTGATGTTTGTAATAAGTCATTTAGTCAAAAAAGTGATTTAACTAGACATCTAAGAACACATACTGGAGAGAAACCCTATATAAGTGGTGTTTGTAATACTTCATTTCGTCAAAAAAGTAATTTAACTAGACATCTGAAAACCCATACTGGAGAGAAACCTTATATATATTTAGCTTCACATCTAAGAACACATACTGGAGAGAAACCTTATATTTGTGAGGATTGTAATAAGTCATTTAGACATAAAAGTGATTTAACTAGACATCTAAGAACACATACTGGAGAGAAACCATTTATTTGTGAAGTTTGTAGTAAGTCATTTAGTCAAAAAAGTGATTTAACAACACATCTAAGAACACATACTGGAGTGAAACCTTATACATGTGAAGTTTGTAGTAGGTCATTTCGTCAAAAAAGTCATTTGACTTCACATCTAAGAACACATACTGGTGAGAAACCTTATATATGTGAGGTTTGTAGTAGGTCATTTAGTCATAAAAGTGATTTAACTAGACATCTGAGAACACATACTGGAGAGAAACCTTTTATTTGTGAGGTTTGTAGTAAGTCATTTAGTCAAAAAAGTGGTTTAACAACACATCTAAGAACACATACTGGTGAGAAACCTTATACATGTGAGGTTTGTAGTAAGTCATTTAGTCAAAAAAGTGATTTAACAACACACCTAAGAACACATACTGGTGAGAAACCTTATACATGTGAAGTTTGTAGTAGGTCATTTCGTCAAAAAAGTCATTTGACTTCACATCTAAGAACACATACTGGTGAGAAACCTTATATATGTGAGGTTTGTAATAAGTCATTTAGTCACAAAAGTGATTTAACTAGACATCTAAGAACACATACTGGAGAGAAACCCTATATATGTGAAGTTTGTAATAAGGCATTTAGTGATAAAAGTAATTTAACAAGACATCTAAGAACACATACTGGAGAGAAACTATATATGTGATGTTTTTAATAAGTCATTTAAAAAGACGTGAAGAGACTCACAAGGAATGTTCATGTTTTCTCAGTCAGAAATTTTGAACAATGTATTTGGTAGTTGTTACATCAATATATGATTGTATTTATAAAGAATTAAAAATTTATCTTATTTGCTCTTCAATTTTCTTTATATTCAAACATCTTGTAATAAAAAATAAAACTGTAACGAATGAAAAACAATCCAATCAACTTATTTTTTATATGCCTTGTCTATTCAACTGGGCATCCACAGTTGCTCGTAAACACTCTACAAGACACAATTCTTGATGGATTTTGCGATATTTGGTGTCATTGTTTATTATCATTCAGGGATGTATGGAAGGCCACTGCGGTCATATCTCATCTCGACCACAAGAAAGCGAGGAAAACGTGATGAGGCCAGAAAGTGAGAGTTAAAATGGTGATGAGAAAGCAAGAGAACAGACAAGGAAGTGGGTGATAAAACAAGGGCGACTTTTCATCCTCTTTTTTTATCAACATGTTCTTATACAAACCGACTGTGTCCATATCTATTATGGGGGGATTCGAGAGTAGATATGGTCGAAGTTGGGATGAACCCTATTGAAAATCAAAAATAACTAATATGAGTTTAAAACTCGTTCCGTTCAACTCCATGGTATTTTTTACATGGCTACACATAGTATCGAAGCATATTGTCGTCCGTCAGTTCACACTTGGCTCACTCTACAGGCTACAGATTATGATTTGTGCTTGCAATAAAAGCTGCTGGTAGGCGTATCTTATTCATTGTTTTTGAGTGACAACCAGATATCTCAATTGATATCACACAGGCACCAGATTCCGGTAAAAAAAAACATTGTACCTCTTATAGTATCTAAATATAAAGGTACACATTCAAGTAGCCATTTTGTTCTATACGTCATACTCTTACCCACGATGTTTCTTGTTTTTCCTTCAAAATCCTTGAAATAGTATAGCCTTTTTAATAATACGACTTTACAGATCGAGGAAGAGATTCAAAATGGTTGTTAGTTAGTTAGTTAGTGTTTGTTATTTCCATGTAGTTTCGTATGTATCACACTTTGAACATATTTTTAATCGATTTAGATAATCAAGTACAGCCTAGTTAATCATTTTATCAAAACAAGTAGAACAATGAAATGTAAACAAGAACTTTCAGGTACAAGCAGTTGTTTCATAGCGATAATTATATAAAAATGGACCATGTTTTGCCTCAAGATTTTATGGAGAAGTTTAAATCAAAGCATGTTACATCAAAACCATCAAGTTGGAACATTGTGGAAAGCGGTTCAACTCTACATGTCACACTGACATGGGTCTTAAAACAGCCACTGACTAAACTTCAAAATGGACCAAAAACAAACCACAAGGAATCAGGGACGAGAGATCCCAGAACTGTTCGAACTTCCACCGGAAAAAAATCTCAAAGCTACAACGATTCTAAACTTTCTAAAACATCAACACATAATAAAAACACGAGCCTCACTTCCAACAACGTGATGTCCGACTCCATCAAGATGACAATCAGCAATGATCCTCGAACTATAGAACTGTCAACAATAGAAAAAGATAAAACTAACGTGTTAACCCATCCCAGTTTATCCAAAGATAAATCCCCTATCGCTGATGTTGTGAAACTGTCTGATCCCAGAAAGACTATGGCCTCTGGTAAAAACCCTGTCGTTAAATCTACATCTGGACCAGCTGAGGATCCGTCAATTAAATTAGGACCGAGGCCTGGGTTCTTTAAGGGGAAAGTATCTAAATTTCTTTCTCAAGACGAAATTGAACTTCATCTTGAAGAATATCTTGTTGACATCTGCCGATCTGAATTGACGAAGCCTGTCGAGTTCTATGCCAACCGATTTCGACAGAGAGTAGCCAAACTGAATAATTGGTATAAACTGAAAGAAACTGTAGACAAACAACGGTCTGAAGCTGTCGCTCGTCCTAATAGTTTGACCAGCCGGTTTACCACTGACACAGTAACCACTTTGCCAAATATATCTACACCTGTACCTCGTAAAAGACCCTCCGAAGAGCCAATTAGTGGTCCAACAAAGAAGCTTAGAAATGATTCCATGAAGAGCCTTGATCCTGTTCAAACGTCAACGAGGTCACATGGAACAGAAAACATTGGTAGAACGCAGGTATATGAATACAGACATGGGAAAAGAGCTTTACCGCCTTGTCGCAACCAAAATACTATAAATACAACTAACTACCTTCACTGGAATCATCCAAATTACCAACAAGACTGGAGACCTAATAATAGATGGCCATACAGACCACCACTCGAAATAAATAAGCACTCATTTAACCTCAGGTGGTACAGTAGCACAGCAACGAAATTAGCACCGAACAACCAGATAGCAACGAAAGTAACCTCGAACATCCAGACAGCAACGAAAGTAACCTCGAACATCCAGACAGCAACGAAAGTAACCTCGAACAACCCGACATCAACGAAAATAACCTCGACCAATCAGACAGCAACGAAAGTAACCTCGAACATCCAGACAGCAACAAAAGTAACCTCGAACAACCAGACAGCAACTAAAATCAAAGTAACTCCGAACATTGAGACGGTCAAGAAGACAAGTACTCGATCATCAAACAAACCATCGATTAAAGAAGAAGTATTATCGACCAGGTCAGCGTCAACTAGTGTTTCTTCCATATCATCATCATCATCAACTTGTACCTCACCAAAAACACCAACAGCACCAATTTATACTGACATTGATGAAGTTATATTTATTAGAGAAGACCCCCCTCGTAGTGCTCACCGGAGGATGCAATCCATTTCACAAATAAAACAGGAATCAGGATGCAAAGGGAGATCACTCAATACACCAGACTCCGAACAGAAAGCCGAATTCAAACCAAAGGTGGATGTCCAGCTTTTACAGTCGATCAAGACCGAATTCGCTTCCAGTCAGATTCTAAACATTAAAACTGAGAAAAATGACGAAACAAACATCAAAAAGGAGATAAAAATTGAAGAAGATATGAAGAAATATCCAGTGATTATTGTTGAGAAAGATATTAAGAGAGAACCAGCAGACTCCTTGACGGCCGGTCTGAAAGCACCAAGACTAGCTTGCAGTGAAGATGAATCCTTGGTCTCATCTGAAGGCAGGAATTAAACAGATTTTCAGTTTTTTGGTCGGGAATGACCACAATAATATTATTTTCTTTGATTTAATATTCATTTTGTATTTTCAGTAGTAAATTATTCAACTTTACTTTGTTTCTTAAACTCTCGCCAGTGGATCCAGACTTTAAAGGGTTCATCTCCAGCAATAGTGGAGAAAACCCGCCATATTTCATTGTCAGCGACGACTTTCAGCCCCAGCCCAGCCTTCGTCAATTTTCGTTAGTTTCTGTGAGTTTAACATTGACTTGGACGTAAACGGAGGAACTGATCGGAGGACGGGAGTACTCGGCTGATTTAGTACATTGTTCAGTCCGAGGACTCCAGTTTAGTATTTAGGTACTATATATTAAAGGTTTTAAAAGCGTTTCGTCTTTGCCATCTACCAACAACTACCTAGTCTGTGATATCAGTTAGCTGGAAGCGAACGTCAACTTGTCATCTACCAACAACTACCTAGTCTGTGATATCAGCTAGCTGGAAGTGAACGTTAACTTGTCATCTACCAACAACTACCTAGTCTGTGATATCAGTTAGCTGGAAGAGAACATCAACTTGTCATCTACCAACAACTACCTAGTCTGTGATATCAGTTAGCTGGAAGCAGACGTTAACTTGTCATCTACCAACAACTACCTAGTCTGTGATATCAGTTAGC